TGAGGAGGTCATCAACAATCTTGTCACGACGGTTCTCATCCAGTGGCCTGATTCGAACTAAAACAATCTCAGGCCACACCAAAATTGGCCTTGAAAAAACTAGTGCACAGAATATATGGCCTCCAACCCGAGGTATCAGCCACTGAAATGTCCTCCAACTTCACTCTCTTGGACCGCTCTATGACAGTCGGAGGCTGCCCGAACGACATATTGATTGATGCAGAAGCACAACCCCTGGAGCCCAAAATCTGAGGAGACAGCAAACAATACATGAACAAGAAAACCAAGGGAGTGCTCGGCACAGCAAGGAATTGACATTTGATAGACTATTTCTGAGCACCTGTAGAAGCCAAGTGCAGCGCATGGCGAGATATCCTCCCATTGATGGGAGGCCTTATGCATGGGCCAGGCCAAAAATGACCACCGGATGCATGAGTCTCATTCATCACTAACCATCAGATAACTGAGAGGCTGGCATGACAAAGCCTTCTCCTCTGACCTCCTGGCTAGGACTCCTCTTTTCAGGCCAGGATTTGAGTCTCAGCTGGGGTCTAGGACTGCAGTTCAGTGATTGATTCAGAGTCCAGGAATAATAAGAACCTGGCCAATCAATCCATGATGTCAGTGGAAACCTGGGCCGGGCACGTCATGAGCAGAATGTTGACCAACATGCTGAGTGGCCCTCTGCAAAGACTGAGTTGCTGCAACTGACTTAGCTTTTCCATGTGGGCTGCAGGATTCACAGGATCCAGGAAGCAGCCCCAGTGGCTGCAAAGCAGCAGGCCACAAGCCATGTCACTGGCTGCACAAGCATTACATTGAATGTGAAACCCGGAAAAAACTGCTCTGGCTGCAAAGCCAGCTGAGACCTCCGACCAGACCATGCTGTACAGTCTTCATCTCAATCAGCATTGGCATCTGTTGGTTGTTGCTGCTGAGTGGAAAACCCCTTCCACCTTTCAGGTCTCTCTCTAATAATCACTGTAACAAGTAGGACCCCATCTACCTACAACATTAGAAAACAGGCCGAAGTAGTATCCAAGTCACAATTCGTCCCGTTGTGTTCTCCATTGTCGGCCTTCTTCGGACTCCAACCACTCGGCCATTTGTTGTCTGCCGGTAGATCTCAAGGGTGTTTTGGTTGCGTTGCGCCCTTTTCTCACGAAGCTGGGTAGAGAGTCTACCTGCAACCTGCCATGTCTCTGGCTGACCACTTTCATCAAAGCCGACCTGGTCTGAGCATCCAGGCACACTGGGGCATGCATTTGCTGACTCTGTGCATGCTCTTCGGCTGCATTCTTCAGCAAATGCTGTAATCCAGCAACAGTTGCTTCATCCTGCAATCGCTCCACCGGACCCAAATGCCAGCTGCTAGCCTTGAGTTCCGACAACTCAACTCGATGATCCAAGGTTGGATTCCCTCTGACCCCGTCCCCTCGTCTTCGTCTCAAACGTTGAGCATTTTTTTGAACTGTTGGGTTCTTACTCCGAAAAGCCTCCACCAGTGTGTCCAGAATGGCCTCATCACGAGAGCCACCGATTGCCTTGCAGGGGAGAAATGGTTGGGTGTTGCTTTGGGGTTTTTTGCATTAAACCTGACCAGGCTAAACCCTATATGATACACTCCATGATAACATACCCCCTTCAAAAATGGAATAAATAGGACATGTACTATAAACTCGGCTTGGGAAAGTTCGATACAAGAATTAATGTTAAGCTCTACTTGGGGCTACTGAATTAAACACCCCATGGGTCTGCCTCGATCTGAGAAACTCTGATTCGCAATCGGTCGGCCACCCTGGCCGGGTGGATCGCAGTCTCCCCGTTCTCGAGGGAATGTAAGAGGGACCCCACCCTCTCACAAACACTGCTGGCTCCCTGTGCTGTTGCACAAGCAGCAAGCAGGAAAGCAGCATGCCAGCAGTGAGTGCGACGTCCTGTGACTGCCGAAGTCAACTCATGCATTGACTTCTCCAGGAGAAAAGACCCAGTCACAGCAGCAGGCTTCAGGGACCAAGTGATTTCCAAAATGAATATCAATTTCTGCTTGAAGGGTGCTTTTGTCATGGTGGCAAAGGCCCCAATCTCCAGTCGGCTACCTTGCTGCAGCAAAGCAACCGAAGCCACTCGGACTCTGAAGCTGCTGGGAGGTGTCCAGAGGAAAGCTGCAATCCGGAAGACCAAACATGTCAAATCCACAGCTCTGATAGCTCGTCTTTCTGGGGTCACTTCTTGAAGCTTTCCTGGGTGCTAGTTATTTCGGGCCCCCAAAATTCAAAACTGTTTGTGTCTAATAGTCTAATCCTCTATAGGAACCATAGAGACATGACACAGTTTTCCAAAGTGACACACAGTTTCTGCCGAGACAGGTCAGCAGCATAGACGGTGGCTGCACCAAACACACCCGGCACTGCACGGGTGTTCGCCACTCACTGTGAGAGCGGTCCAGATGAACCTTGTGCCACAACACTTTGTATTGCCGCTGCATACCTTGCTGGTCGGGCCAGGCATGTTGAACATACTGAAAATCGGGGGACGTCGGCCACCTAACATAAGCAAGTCGTGGCCGGTACAGAGCATAGACACGGTCCAGGCTCTGCAAATGATCTGCCCCAGGGCTTCTCTGCATGCACATTGTGTCAAAGTCCCAGACACATGCAAGATCTTTGTTCAACATGCTGATATGTCTTGGTAAACCCACATCATGCCAGTACTCCTCATAGCTTGTAATGAGAAGCTGAAGGAAGTCCTCGACACAAGCCAGGCCCTGCTGCACCATTTGCTGGGCATACGGAACCAAGCGGCTGGTCTGGCACTGATACAAGTGTTTGTTGAAGAGTGTCAAGCCTTGGACCTCTGACCTGCAGGGTGGAAATTGTGGGTTTCTGGATTTACAGTACACAAACCCTACTTAAGACTCAGCAAAACAAGCACAGACCTGCACTATCATCTTCCAATCTCAGGACCTGGTCGGGGGACGGTTGAAGGTGTCATAACGCAGGGGCACCGACACCAAGTCCTTCTGTAAGTCCTGCTGGGCCTCAGCCTTCGTCATTTTCACCTTTGCCACGTACTCCGGCACCAACACCGATACTGGACGCCCACCTCGGCTCTGTCATATGACGGACAAGGAAGTGACCAGGCAAAAGTAGATTCGAGTAGTTACAGCACGGATAAATAAATAGAATGACCATACCATGCTAAAGGGATTTTGCCTAGCCACCGACCAGTATTCTGACCCGGCTCCTCCTGTGCTCTGCATGGGAGGTTCGCCACCGACAAGTACAGCGAGGTGTGACACACATGTTGTCCTTGCTAAGGTCAACATTCACCTGAAGTTGTACATCAGCGAAAACTCGCAGAACAACTATACTGAAGAGCTCCCGTGAAAATGTCGGGAACCGACGCCCAGGTCGGGTATACAAGAAGGCTGAACAGAGGTTCTTGAGGTCGGCATGCTCACAGTAGTGTTGTAGCAGGCAGATGACCATGGCCTGCACCCTCAGTTTGTGAAGGTCTTCCAGGTCTGCTTTTGCCTGGGTTTGCTTTTGTTGCCAAGACCTCTGACCACACCAGGGAACATCCGTTGTGTGCTGGATGCTAAGAACAAAAAGCCGCTGGGAAACCATGAGGTCCTGACCAGATGGTATAGCATTAGGCAAGCTTGGAAACACATGGGCAGCAGAAAGGGGGTTACAAGTAGGGTTATAAGTACCCATGAACCCCTCCATGTCCCAGTGGTATTCTGGGGGCCGGGAATTTATTTGATTTAAAACGATCCATCTGCCAAATGGCCGGCCCCACATCAGGATGCCCTGAAAGGGGATATTCCAAACCAAGATTGGCTGCAGCATCTGTTCAGAACCTTATCACTGCAAGCCCACCCTGAAGCCCTCGACACTTTGAGAACAATGATGAAGGTGGTCCTGGAAGCAGCACAAGAAGGTCACAAAGTCCATCGACAAGAACCGGCGGCCCAAAACAGCCAGCTTGCTCTGACTTGTGGCCCCATGACCTTC